GGCCTTTTAAAAAGGAGTACGCTCTTTTCTTGAAGGTCCCTAAGTCGTATCGGTCCGGAAAAATCGCTGATGGTAATCGATTCCACAAGGAAGTCGTGCGAGGAAGAAAACATCTAAATCGCACAGTGGTGGACCGCCAATCATCCAGATGGTGTGGATGGTATTGGGAGTTCTGCCGCGATGTGCGTTCGTGAAATTTGGCGGCTGGGATTAATCCGAACAATTCCTCAGAGCACTCCCCATGGTAGATGCGAAAGAAAATGCAAATTGATGCAACATCTCTTCGCAGTGCCAATGAATCGAGCCGATCGGAGAGGGCTCGGTCGTCGACGATTCGAGTCGCTCTGCGCTGGATGCGGTCAAGTGGAAGGAGCTGGCACTGGGGAGCCACTGCCCAGAGATGGGAACAGTATTTCATGTGAGGCCGAACCTGCGCCTTGTAAAGTTGCAGGCGGTGTGCCGGCATGAAATACTGTCCCGCTCCGCTGAGCACGCCAAGCTTTTTAGAGGCCAATTTGGCCTTCTCTTCCAAGTGACCACGAAACTGCACGTCACTCGATATGTCGACTCCGAGGATACCGATACTGGCTGAGGAAAGAAGGGGAGTGCCTTGAAACTGAGGAGATACGACAAAGGGGTTCTTTTTAGCGGTAAATGCGCAAACTTGTGTCTTCTGAGGATTAAACTGGACTAGATTTAGTCGCCCCCAATCCGAGACTTTGTTCAGCAAAGACTCGACTTCAGACACAAGTTTGTTCCGGTACTCGGCGACGTTTTTTCGAGAAATATTGGCACGGTCGGTGTAAAGAGCATCACCAGTGCTGTCATCCGCATAGCGCAAACTTGTGTCTTCTGAGGATTAAACTGGACTAGATTTAGTCGCCCCCAATCCGAGACTTTGTTCAGCAAAGACTCGACTTCAGACACAAGTTTGTTCCGGTACTCGGCGACGTTTTTTCGAGAAATATTGGCACGGTCGGTGTAAAGAGCATCACCAGTGCTGTCATCCGCATAGCAATGACTGTTACCAGTTAGCAACATATCATTGATATGCAGAAGAAACAGCGTTGGTGATAGCACACAGCCTTGTGGAACACCAGCGTTAATGGGCTTGTAGTCAGAACATGCACCGTCTACAACGACCTTGATGCTCCGATCTGCAAGGTGATCCAATTGCACAATTTCTCAGGAAGCCCATAGGAAGGGAGCTTCGAAAGAAGCGCTTTGTGCCAAACCCGATCGAAAGCCTTCGCAATGTCCAGACTAACGGCCAACGCCTCCCCCTTGGACTCTACTGCCTCCGCCCATCTATGGGTCAGGTAGACCAGAAGATCACCAGCTGATCGACGCCGACGAAAACCGTATTGGCGGTCACTAATCAGCTGGTGATCCTCAAGGTACCGGATGAGCTGGCAGTTAATAATGGATTCCATTATTTTGGAGAACAAGGAGGTGATCGCGATAGGCCTATAGTTGGACGGGTCTGAGCGGTCGCCTTTTTAGGGATCGGGTGGACAAAAGCTGTCTTCCATGAGTTCGGGACTACGCCTTGGGAGCAGGAGTACCGGAAAAGACGCGTTAGGACCGGTGTCAACTCCGGAGCACACGTCCTCAGCACAATTGGGGGGATTCCGTCAGGCCCACTCGACTTTTGGATGTCCAGGGAGAGAAGTGCTTTGCGAACCGAGCGCTGTGAAAACAGCACATCCGGCATGGAGCACTCACACCGCGGGATGGTCGGCGGTGTTTTCCTCCGTCATCAAGAGTCGAGTTGGATGCAAAGAGGGAGCCTAAAAGGTCAGCTTTGTCTTTTGCGTCTTGGGCCAGTGAGTCGTCCTCCCTGTGCAGAGATGGTAGTGATGGCTTACAGAAATTCCCTTGGACAGCCTTGGCGAGAGACCAGAATGCACGGGTTCCCGAAGGAAGGCGAACTAGTTTCTCGCCAATTCTTCGCATTTTGTGAGGCATTCCATCTTGGTCCTCTAGAGGTGACTACGTATTTTTTTTCTTTTTTTCTCTTTATTTGCTTTATCAACAATTGTTAACACTAACACGTGTTAGAGCCATGATGCAGCTACATATATTAGTATTATAGTTGATAGTTGTGGCACGAATGGGTCGGCTCGTCCGGGGAAGGACCACGCTCTCACAGAATACCTGCAAAAATAGCAGCTTAATGCTGCTGTATTTCGTATGGTGAGTGTAGAGAACCGGATACCCTTTTTTAACTGGAAACGAGGCGTTACATCTTAGTCCTCACGGGTGATAACGCATCTGCATTTTGATTATTTATTGAGGATAAATGTAGATATGGTCTATGGGTCACAGCAACCTCTTACCATCGGGTGGACTGTGTGCTCGTTTGTCACCCTATCCTATATAAAAAAAAAAAACATAATATTATACAGTTACTTAAATGTAAACTCCGCATACATGCATAGTGCAACACGAGCCACCGGCGTATCGGAAAGGAGTAGCCACATGCTGGTTTTCTCCTCTGTCAAAGCACAAGTCCGGTAAAGTGTACAATAAAAGTAGTTGTCGTCTAGTTGCGCGGTTGAATCCACGTCCTACAAAAATGCGGAATTGTTCAGTTTTATGCTGCAATAAGAGATCTAGCGTGTCAATTTTCCTTCCTTTCATATAAGTAATTTTTAATCACATTATTGCTATTTACTTCTTTATAGATTTAAAATATACATTAATAACGGTCGTTTTGTTACGGATTTGTTTACCAACACAGACCACTCCCCTTAATTCTAATACAATGTGCAGATCGGTCGAACGACTGATCCGAGTATGTATCAGAGTTGTTAGTTTAATATAATTATGTTTATCTATGTATGTTACTCGATTTCTTCGGCGATAATCATTGTGTGTCAGGATCGTGCCAAAGGAAGTCCGTAGTCTCTGCCTAACCCTCTGGGTGACAGGCGTTAGTGTTTATGTATGTATGTATAGCTAAAAGTTGAGTTTTAACTCTTTACGAACTACGAACTTTGTGCCTTAGAACCAACTGGAGGAAGCTATTATGTGTAAATTACATAAACACGGATGTCCTCATGAGCGGTAGGCAAAGACTACGGTTTTCCAATGGGCACAATCTTGACACACCTTTCTCGACACCTTCACATCCATATATCAACGCAAACATGCTCGTCGGTTAAGGGTACTCTTAATCTGGCCCATCTTCAATATATCGCCAATTTGGTCGATATAATTTCGTCTAGGCCTTCCCTGGCAGACTGTCGTTCACTTCTGCAACATAAATTTGCTTTGAAACTCTTTATTTATTGTGGAAATTATTGTCTTCTTTTTTAACTGACTGTCTTAGAAAGAGTGCAATGTTTTTCGAGAGTATGTATGTATGTATGTCTGTTTCTTTTGGCACGCTATGTAGCCAAAACGGTTTGAAGGATTTTAACATAATAGGATGTCGTTTTATTCGTCTTAGTTGTGGAAGTGACATAGGTTATAACATTTTCCGCTTTTCAGTAAACAATTTTATTCAGCCGGATTTTTTTTAGTCCCTGTTTTATATTAAAAGTTTAATTTTTATCAGAAACCTTCGCGTGGCTCTTTACATCGTATAAACGTAATCGAACGTATGGTATAGCAACGTATAGAGACAAACAAATGAACATTAATTTTTTATCTATAGATTCGACATGAGCAAACTATGTGTTGCCCGTTGTACCGCACTCAAGACTCTTGAGCAGTCTTATTTAAGCTTATCCGATCATGGCGGCTTTGTTATAACAGACCCTTGTAAAAACATAGTTCTCTTATTAGCTATGTACTCGTTTTATATATTAAAAGAACATCGATCACTAATATTAGTGATCGATGTTAAAGAATAACAGTTGGTTTTTGTTGTAGTGTCCGACTGAAGGTCGATTTCTGGCTGAAGCCGAAGCCGTTTAATCGGGTGTCCCCGCAAAACTGAAGCTGGGGGCTTGAAAACCCTAAGAAGTTCAGTTAAGATTGCCTAAAATTGATAATATAAATTATTTAAAAAAAATTATACTTATTGTATAATATCAAAAGGTAATTTTAATCTGGAAATTGATTTGGAGACGATATAAATTGAGTCACCACGTCCACCGCACTTTCTCTCATTTGTAACAGTTCGTTCAATATCGGCGCTTGCTAGAGAAACCTTCGTGTTTGGCCAAAACTTCGGCCCATTTTGGTTGAAGCCGAAGGTTTCGCCGAAGGCCTTTTTTTGGCAGAAGGTGGCCGAAGCCAAAGCTGAAGATTCGGTCGGACGTTATAGTTTAAGGGTATATTTCTATGTATATACTTTATTTTTATTTATTTATGTCAATAGTTCTACCAACAGTAATTGTCTCCATGAAAAGTATAACATTTGTCATTCTTACAAATAATCAAGTTACAACCACTTAAAGGTAAACATGGCGTGCATTGCGTGAATTTACGCAAACACTTCACACTGAATAAAACTATTTTACGGGTTTTATCGCGTTTAATTTACGCCTAGAGTGGCAACTATAATAAATATTCACCCTATTAGGCAATATATAGTGAAGACTTAAGTTCAGCAGTGGACTTATCATGGGTAAGCTCTAATGATATGATATCCATCACAGCCTATGAAAGTTTACTGCTGAACTTAAGACTCCCATAGATTAGGGACGATATGGGATAGTGGATATTCCAATATCGCCACTAAGTTAAAGAGAGAAAGAGAATAATTTATGCAAAGTTTTAAGATGAATATTTACGATTTAGGAGTTTGTTCAACTGCGTTAGCAGGACCGCTGTCAGATGCTGCAATATTTTTGATTTATATAATTATGAAACACCAATAATTCTAGTTCTTCCCGACAAGGTCTTTTTTTCAACTGTATGCCATTTAGATTAGGGTATGACATATACGATAAAAGCCCCTAAATAAATAAAAAGAAGAAAAATACTGCCACTATATGATTTATGGTATGGTATGGTATATAGTGATCTAATTTTGTCGTTTCTTTCAGCAAATCCAGCAACAATACAGAGGTCGTGTGGGATCAGCGGGACGTTGTTGGGGCAGTATGTCCGAAGGCGGGGGGGTCTCCGCAGCTGGAGATACGTGCAAGACCAACCTCATCGTCAACTACCTCCCCCAGACGATGACCGAGAAGGACCTGTACGCAATGTTCATGACAATTGGACCTATCGAGAGCTGTCGGGTTATGAAAGATTTTAAGGTACGCATGACCATTTATATAGAGTAAGTGTGACGAATGTGCATATAGTCCACCTGATGGTAAGTGAATACTTTGGTCCATAGGCATCTATATCGATCCTCGGTTAAGAATCAAAATGCAGATGCGTTGTCACCTCTGAGGACTAAGATGTAATGCTTCGTCCCCAGTAAAAAGGGTTTTATTGTTCACAGTTTTGTGTGACTGATCCGAAGGCCATCCATGTTTTTTTAAAGTCAGAAGCAATGTTTGTTCATGATAGCGCCATACCGCAGCTGTGGTTGCACGAATGGGTCGGCTCTACGGAGACCACGCTCTTAAAGTATAGAATACTAGCGTAAAGTGCTGCTGAAATAATGGTCAAAGTATAAAAAAATACTTTCAATAAGAATCTATGTTGAATAGAATAATTATATACTATTCTACTCTATTCTATTCTATTATATGCTGTGTTTCCTTTGGTTAGTGATAAGAACCAAAGACCCTTTTTACTGGCAACGAGACACTCCATATTAATTCTCAAGAACACCTAATCGTGGATAGGTTTATGTGTCTAATGGCCAAATACTCAAACGATACACAATTTTAAGATGTGTTTAGGTCTCGTGGTGTCACAGTCACTGATAGAGACAGCAAGAGACTTAACGTCATCTTAAAATTGAGTAACGTTTGCGTATTTGGGCATAAGTGTCACCGCATACACTTTCCATTAGGTGGAGTATGTGCTTGTTTATTAACTTTGTTTATGTATAAAAATTTAAAGAATAAGAAATGTATAGTGGAGGCCAAGAAGTTTTACTGGAATTTTCCATAATCACGTCCTTGGGCTTACCATTAAAGCCTAAAATAGACTTCCCCCATAAATGGCCTCTAAGGGGGGATCCCTATGAGTCAATTTTGACATTCTTGACAGGCGGGTTTGCAACCGCAGTTTTGTATTTTTTAGTTGTTATCGGGAAGACGTTGCCCATACCCTGGTTTGTTTAGCTCTGTCGCCTATTACGACACCCACGGGATGATATGGGGTAGTGGATATACTTACATCGCCACTACACGATCAAAGCGTCTTTGGGTAACCATGGGATAAGATGTGGATAAGAAGTTTATCACACTCCCACCGTAAGGCGGAACATAAAAATATTATCTAAAAATATAAACGTACAGTAATACAAAAATTTGTAAAACTTATCTCTTCAGGTCAAGGTAAAAAGAAATGAATTTGGAACTTATCCATATCGCCATACCGATCGAAGGCAACTGGTTCCGAAGTTTTTAAATGGCTTTGACGTAAAAATAAAACTTTCGCGTTATTTCTGTAAAACAGAAATCTACTATATATATTTATATATATATATATATATTTACTAAAATTGTTCATTTTGTATTTTAATGGATGAATTACCTAATGGGATAGGAGATACTAAGGTTTTTGCATGTTTTAAATATATTTTTTTTGTACAAGTAAGGGCAAGCTTCTGTCACTCTTGCTACTTGCATGGCTTAAATACCTACAAATCGGGTGGAAACTCAGGTTACATACGTAGTCAGGGCTAGCCTGTTTTAGGTGAGCGAAGTACTTGTGAATTTCAAAGATTTTTTTAACACGGTTTAGCTAAATAGATTTTTTGTAAATACTTATTTAAATATTTATATTTTTTTAAGATAGGTGACCAACGAGTACACAGTCCACCTGATGGTAAGTGGTTGCTGTGGCCCATAGACATGTACATCTGTCCTCAATAAAAAATCAAAATGCAGATGCGTTGTCACCTGTGAGGGCTACGACGGAATGCCTCTTTTCCAGTAAAAGGGTCTCCGATTCTCTACACTCACCATACGAAACACAGCAGCGTTAAGCTACTATTTTACGCTGGTATTCTGTGAGAGCGTGGTCCTTCCCCGGTCGAGCCGACCCATTCGTGCTACAACTATACTACTAATATAGCTGCAGCGTGGCTCTACCACGACTAAAAATTAATATTTAATATATTTAGTTTTGTGTAGTGTTACCGTGTAGTGGCGGTTAAGAATATCCACTACCCCATATCTTCCCGTGGGTGTCGTTAGAGGCGACAGTGGAGAAACAGGCAGGAGATAGACAGCAGCATCTTCCTGATAACACCAATCTTATAATAAAAGACTGTGTTTGCCAACCTGCTCGCCAAGCGTGGCAAATATGGCAAATATCCCCCCATGATGAAACTTACGAAGAGACGGCCCCCAGTCCCCGGCGGCCCCGTTATTCCTGGCTACGGTGGCGACCATGGTATCGGCGGTGCTAAGAATCTCCGGTGGAGGTTCGGTTGTCACCTAAAATGACTCGACCTGGCAACATACAACGCACGCACCCTGAGGACTGACGACAAGATACTGGAGCTGGAAGAAGAGATAGATAAGTTACGCTGGCATATTACAGGATTATCCGAGGTCCGAAGAGAGGGGGAGGACACGGTAATCCTCGAATCCGGTAACTTGTTCTATCACCGGGAGGGCGACCATCTGTCCCAACGAGGTGTCGGATTTATCGTCCACAAGTCTCTCATTAACAACGTTTTTTTTTTACTGTTCTACTGCTGCTATGTATGCAGCACCCTTGGTTACTTTTTTCCTGTTTTTTTTTGTTTTTTTTTTTTTTCATTAAGAACGTTGTAAAGACTATGAGTGTGTCGACGAGGGCTGCGTACCTTATACTCAGAATCCACAAACGGTATTCATTGAAGATCATACAGGTTTACGCACCAACCTCGGCACGTCCCGATGACGAGGTGGAGGAAATGTATGAGGATATCTCTAAAGCCATGCATTCCTCCAAAACCCACTGTACGGTGTTAATGGGAGACTTCAATGCAAAACTAGGCACAAGAGAAAACGGTGAGCTGAAAGTAGGGAAATTCGGAATAGGGCAACGGAACCCAAGGGGCCAGCAGCTGGCCGACTTCATGGAGAAAGAGGGACTCTTTATGATAAACTCTTTCTTCGAGAAGCGGCCCCAGAGGAAGTGGACCTGGTCGAGCCCCGACGGTTCGACAAAAAATGAGATTGACTTCATTATGACGACCAGACCACAACTGTTCAGTGATGTCTCAGTGTTCGCGAGGGTGAAATCTGGTAGCAATCACCAAATGGTTAGGGGCACACTGAACCTAAACGTTAAGTTGGAGAGGTCTCTCTTAATGAATTCAACGCTTCGTCCTCCTCATGCTCTAGTCCAAAGTCTAGAAACCTTTCAGCTAGAGTTACAAAACCGTTTTCAGTGCCTAGAAGACTGCAATGAAGTGGACGATATGAATGATAAGCTCGTGGAAACTGTCTATGCGGAACTAAGTTCTGACAGTTTTCGTGTTCTTCTGCAAGACCGGCCGCAGAAGAACACAAAAACTTTCTGATCGCACTCTTAATCTCACGGCTGTTAGACGGGAAATGAAGCTGCAGTCTTCAACAGATTTGACAGCGTACAGACAACTGAACAGACAGATCTCCAAATGCATTCGGCGGGACTTACGCAACTTCAATAAAGCTTGTATCGAAGAAGCGATCGAGCGGATCCAAGGCTCCAAAGTCTTTGCCAGAGATCTGTCCGCCAGAAAAAGCCAACTGTCGAAGCTGAAGACCGAGTGTGGCAGCATCGTTTCCGGGGCACCTGAGATTTTGAGTAAGATTGAGAGGTTCTATGGGCAGCTTTACACGTCATCGTTGGAGCCACACGCAAGTGTGAGTAACGATCCAAGAGCGAGTCTTATCCGACACTATTCCGAAGATATCCCGGACGTCAGTCTGAGCAAGATTAGAATGGCTCTCCAGCACCTTAAAAACGGCATGGCCCCAGGCGAGGATGGAATTACAGCGGAGCTTCTGAAAGCGGGTGGAAGACCGGTACTTGAAGTCCTTCAGAAGCTTTTTAATTCCGTCCTCCATGGTGGCATTACACTGGAGGCGTGGAGCAGAAGTGCGGTGGTCTTGTTCTTCAAGAAAGGCGACAACGCTCTCTTGTAGAACTACAGACCTATTTCCCTTCTGAGCCGCGTCTACGTGCTGTTATCGAGAATCATTATGAATTGTCTCGCACGCATACTCGTCAACTTCCAGCCTTCCGAACAAGCTGGTTTCCGAAAAGGCTTTAGCACCATAGACCACATACATACCCTTCGGCAAATTTGCCACTACGTCTGGCGTATGTGGACTATGAGAAAGCCTTTGTTTCCGTCGAAATTTGGGCGGTGCTGCAGTCCCTTCAGCGGTGTTAAGTTGACTGTCGGAATTTGGAAGTGCTGAAGTGTCTGTACAGTAGGGCTACGATGGCTATCCGAGTTCAGAGTCAGAGTACGAAATCGATAGGTTTGCAGAGAGGTGTAAGGCAGAGTGACGTTATATCCCCGAAACTCATCATCGCTGCATTGGAAGACGTTTTCAAGCTACTGGACTGGAAAGGATACGGTATTAACATCAACGGCGAGTACATCACTCGCCTTCGATTTAGTCCTTACGGCTGAATCGCTGGAGGACCTAAGCACTATGCTCAATAACCTCAATAGTGCCTCCCAACGAATAGGTCTTAAGATGAACGTGGACAAAACAAAGATCATGTATAACGTTCATGTCACACCTATGCCGGTAGTTGTTGGGAGCACTAAACTCGAAGTTGTTGACGAGTATGTTTACCTGGAACAAAAAGTCTGACTAGGTAAGACCAACTTTGACCGAGGGTCAATCGACGGATTCAACTCGGCTGGGCAGCGTTCGAGAAACTACGACGCATCTTCTCGTTACACATACCTCAAAACCTGAAAACGAAATTGTCAAAAGATAAAGGGGCAAATAGTCCGACTAGGTAAGTCCAACTTCGACCGAGAGCCTGCTACATTATTATAGCAGATAACATTATAAGACACTGTTACGTATAGAAATTTACATATGTCCTCGTTGATATTCGTTGTATATTGACAGAAACTTCAATTTTATATGTACGTACAAATGTTGCTAATATGGTAACTTGAAATTTTCAGACTGGTTACAGCTACGGCTTTGGGTTTGTGAACTTCACGAGGGAGGAGGACGCCGCGAGGGCTATTGAGACGTTCAACGGATACCGGCTCAGAAATAAACGGTTAAAGGTAACTAATGTTTTCAAGCTATACATGATGGAGCCATGCTGCAGCTATATTATAGTTGACCCTTTTTACTGGAAGGCACAAGGCATATTAATTTAGCACTTAAAAGTGAAAACACATTCTTTTGTTTCTTAACCGACACGTCACGGCCCATACCTGCTACAAAAGATAATATAGCTGGAGCATGGCTCTACCACATATAGCAGTAGTATCCACTTACCATCAGGTGGACTGTGTATTCGATTGTTAGCCTTATTATAAAGGTATATGAAAAAAAAACCTACAATTATCCAACTTATGATACTCTGCATCCGTCTCTTTTTCTCAAAGTTTAGTTTTCTTGTGGTTTCAACTATGTGGATGCAACTATGTCTCCTAATGAAAAAATCCGATGTACTAAATGTCTCCTAAACCTATTGTTAATCCTAAAACAAGATTTATCATTTATATTTATTCACATTCCAGGTATCTTACGCGCGGCCGTCAGGTGACGATATCAAGGACACGAACCTGTACGTGAGCAATCTGCCCAGGGCGATAACCGAGGAACAGTTGGAGACAATCTTCGGCAAGTACGGCCGCATCGTGCAGAAGCATATACTGCGCGACAAGAATAACGGCACGCCTAGAGGAGTCGCGTTTGTTAGGTGAGCATGTACTGACATGTGAAAGCGTCAGTAGCCTAATGGCAGGGTGCGGACTGTGAACTCGAAAGTTCCTGGGGTCGAATCCGCCATTACAATACTGTCGTGAACCACTTCTAACACAAGCATTTTAAGCTTACAAGAAGTGGTTAAAGGGAATATTAGTGATGTTTAATAGCATTACTAGTATTTTTTTTATAAAAAAAAAATTATTACGTGAATGAATAGGATGCATTAATGAATAATTGTCGTTGTTATTGAAAACGATTATTATAAATTAGTTTCTATATTTGATATTTTTACTGGGTGGTAGGACACTACTATATTATGTATTATATTCTATATTATGGTTGTGGAACGAATGGGTCGGCTCAACCGGGGAAGGACCACGCTCTCACAGAATACCAGCGTCAAATAGCAGCTTCATGCCGCTGTGTTTCGTATGGTGAGTGTAGAGTTTTTAATGGAAACGAGGCATTCCATCTTATTCCTCACGGGTGACACAATGCACCTGTGTTTTGTTTCTTGATTGAGGATAAATGTAGATATCTTTGAGCCACAGCCACGTACCATCAAGTGAACTGTATGCTCGTTTGTCACCCTCTTATCTATTTCTGCTGTTGCAATCTGAATAGGTATATGTGGGTATAGAGGTAGTCTAATGCCAAGCTCTGAGGCATTTCATCTTAGTACTCAGAGATGACAAGGCATCTGCAGCCTTGTATGTTTGAAGTTGACTGAAAAGACAAAGTGACATGTTGTACTCTTCGTAATTCTGTACAATTTGCCGAAGGGTATGTATGTGGTTGCCGTGTAGTGACGGTTAAGAATATCCACTACCCCATATCTTCCCGTGGGTGTCGTAAAAGGCGACAAAGGGAAACAGGCAGGAGATGGGCAGCAGCATCTTCCTGATAATAGCCAAAATAACAATAAAAAAACTGCGGTTGCCAACCCGCTCGCCAAGCGTGGCAACTATGGCAATATACCCCCCATGAGCAATGACAATAATAAACGGCCCCCAGTCCCCGGCGGCCCCGCTATTCCTGGCTACGGTGGTGACCATGGTAACGGCGGGGCAGGGGGTGCTAAGAATCTCCGGTGGAGGTTCGGTTGCCACCTACGACGACTCGACCTGGCAACATACAACGCACGCACCCTGAGGACTGACGAGAAGATTGTGGAGCTGGAAGAAGAGATAGACAAGTTACGCTGGCATATTATAGGATTATCCGAAGTCCGAAGAGAGGGGGAGGACACGGTAATCCTCGAATCCGGCAACTTGCTCTATTACCGGGAGGGCGACCATCTGTCCCAAGGAGGTGTCGGATTTATCGTCCACAAGTCTCTCGTTAACAACGTTGTAAAGATTGAGAGTGTGTCGACGAGGGTTGCGTACCTTATACTCAGAATCACCAAACGGTATTCGCTGAAGGTCATACAGGTTTACGCACCAAACTCGGCACACCCCGATCAGGAGGTGGAGGAAATGTATGAGGATATCTCTAGAGCCATGCATTCCTCCAAAACCCAATATACGGTGTTAATGGGAGACTTCAATGCAAAACTAGGCACAAGAGAGAACGGTGAGCTGAAAGTAGGGAAATTTGGAATAGGGCAACGGAACCCAAGGGGCCAGCAGCTGGCCGACTTCATGGAGAAAGAGGGACTCTTTATGATGAACTCTTTCTTCCAGAAGCGGCCCCACAGGAAGTGGACCTGGTCGAGCCCCGACGGTTCGACAAAAAATGAGATTGACTTCATTATGACGACCAGACGACAACTGTTCAGTGATGTCTCAGTGATCGCGAGGGTTAAAACCGGCAGCGATCACCGAATGGTTAGAGGCACACTGAACCTAAACGTTAAGTTGGAGAGGTCTCGTCTAATGAAGTCAACGCTCCGTCCCCCTCGTGCTCTAATCCAAAGTCCCGAAACCTTTCAGCTCGAGTTACAAAACCGTTTTCAGTGCCTAGAAGACTGCAATGAAGTGGACGATTTGAATGACAAGCTCGTGGAAACTGTCCATGCGGTCGGAGCTAAGTTCTGCAAGACCCGCCGCAGAAGAACACAAAAACTCTCCGATCACACTCTTAATCTCATGGCTGTTAGACGGGAGATGAAGCTACATTCTTCAACAGATTTAACAGCATACAGGCAACTGAACAGACAGATCTCCAAATGCATGCGGCGGGACTTACGCAAATTCAATACAGCTCGTATTGAAGAAGCGATCGAGCGGAACCGAGGCTCCAAAGTCTTTGCCAGAGATCTGTCTGCCAGAAAGCGCCAACTGTCAAAGCTGAAGACAGAATGTGGCAGCATCGTTTCCGGGGCACCTGAGATTTTGAGTGAGATTGAGAGGTTCTATGGGCAGCTGTACACGTCATCGTTGGAGCCGCACGCAAGTGTGAGTAACGATCCAAGAGCGAGTCTTATCCGACATTATTCCGATGATATCCCGGACGTCAGTCTGAGCGAGATTAGAATGGCTCTCCAGCACCTTAAAAACGGCAAGGCCCCAGGCGAGGATGGAATTACAGCGGAGCTTCTGAAAGCGGGTGGAAAACCGGTACTTGAAGTCCTTCAGAAGCTCTTTAATTCCGTCTTCCATGGTGGCATTACACCGGAGGCGTGGAGCAGAAGTGTGGTGGTCTTGTTCTTCAAGAAAGGCGACAACACTCTCTTGAAGAACTACAGACCGATTTCCCTTCTGAGCCGCGTCTACGTGCTGTTTTCGAGAGTCATTACGAATCGTCTCGCGCGCAGACTTGACGACTTCCAGCCTCCCGAACAAGCCGGTTTCCGAAAAGGCTTTGGCACCATAGACCACATACATACCCTTCGGCAAATTGTACAGAAGTCCGAGGAGTACAATTTGCCACTATGTCTGGCGTATGTGGACTATGAGAAAGCCTTTGATTCCGTCGAAATTTGGGCGGTGCTGCAGTCCCTTCAGCGATGCCAAGTTGACTGTCGGTATATCGAAGTGTTGAAGTGCTTGTACAGTAGGGCTACGATGGCTATCCGAGTACAGAACCAGAGTACGAAACCTATCCAATTGCAGAGAGGTGTAAGACAGGGTGACGTCATATCCCCGAAACTCTTTACCGCTGCATTGGAAGATGTTTTCAAGCTTCTGGACTGGAAAGGATACGGTATCGACATCAATGGCGAGTACATCACTCACCTTCGATTTGCCGACGATATAGTCCTTATGGTAGAATCGCTGGAGGACCTAAGCACTATGCTCAATGACCTCAATAGTGTTTCCCAATGGATAGGTCTTAAGATGAACATGGACAAAACAAAGATCATGTTTAATGTCCATGTCACACCTATGCCGGTAGTTGTTGGGAACACTAAGCTCGAAGTTGTTGACGAGTATGTTTACCTGGGACAAATAGTCCGACTAGGTAAGTCCAACTTCGACCGAGAGGTCAATCGACGGATTCAACTCGGTTGGGCAGCGTTCGGGAAATTACGGCACATCTTCTCGTCAGGTATACCTCAAAACTTGAAAACGAGACTGTACACCCAGTGCGTGTTGCCAGTGATGACATACGGAACTGAGACGTGGTCCTTCACTGCTGGCCGGATGAGGAAGCTCAAGGTCGCTCAGCGAGCTATGGAGAGGGCTATGCTCGGAGTTTCTCTGCGTGATAAACTCAGAAATGAGGATATCTGCAGTAGAACTAGAGTGACCGACATAGCCCAACGGATTAGTAAGCTGAAGTGGCAATGGGCCGGCCATATAGCTCGAAGAACCGACAACCGATGGGGAAGAAAGGTTCTCGAGTGGCAGCCTCGTACCGGCAGGCGAAGTGTAGGGCGTCCCCCCACTAGATGGAGTGACGACCTGGTAAGATATGCAGGAAGTCGATGGATGCAGGTGGCTCAGGACCGTGCTTTGTGGCATTCTTTGGGGGAGGCCTATGTTCAGCAGTGGACTTGTGAAGGGCTGTAATGAATGAAAAAAAAAATGTATGTGGTCTATGGTGCTAAAGCCTTTTCGGAAACCGGCTTGTTCGGGAGGCGGAAAGTCGTCGAGTCTGCATGCGAGACGATCGTAATGACTCTCGTAAACAGCACAGGTGCACAGGTGGTGATGGTTAATTAAGCCATAAAATTATTTATCAATTAAAGTTTCTTTTTCATTAAGCAGTTATTAAGTTTTAACGATTTGGAGAAAAATTGCAACTGGGTTTAAAAATAGGGTTAGACGATTGTGTAAGAATAACCACTACCCCATATCATACCGTGGGTGTCGTAAGAGGCGACAGAGGGAAACAAATCGGGAGATGGGCACCAGCATCTTTCTAATAACGACTAAAACTAAAAAACTGCGGTTGCCAACCTGCTTGCCAAGCGTGGCAACTATAACGTATATCCCCTCTATAAGGTAATCTATGCGGAAGGCCTATGTTCAGCAGTGGACTTTAATAGTAAAGGTTACGGCAATAGTAAAAGCCAACTTCAAGAATAATAAGAATTTAAATAAAACTAATTTTACGGATTTTATCGCGTATATTAACTTATGATTTTATCGCGTATATTAATTTATTTTACATTCCCGACGTTTCAAGCATTTTACGGGGGGGACTGAGGTGTATGACGTCCCAATGTCATAGTTAACCACGGCTACCTCCAGATTAATAATTTTTAATCTGGAGGTAGCCGTGGTTATTGTAGATAGTTTTATTTAAATGTGTAGTGTTCGCGTAAATATAAGAAATCATTATAATAAGAATTTAATTAATAGGTCGGGGAATAAATAAGTTTCTTCATATTTTGGTTGTATAAAATTGAAAAAAAAAATCTCTTTGGTTGTACTGTTTGTATCTTGCTGGTTTTAATATCAATACATATAGGACATTAAGAAAAAGAAAAATACATCTAATATATAAAAAATATTTTTGTTTGTTCGTATTTTATGCGCTGCCATTTTGTTCATCACATTGCGATAAAACTTTGTCAACTTATTGCTTGCACTTGCGAGGTTATAGGCACAGTACAATTAACTTACAATAGGTGGCGCGCGTATCGTACCAAGAAATTTATTTGAAAGTTATACATCACTCAACTTCATTCCTAATTAAACAATATAAACCGGATAGCAGCTAGGATAAAATACGAAGAAACTTTTCGCCCGATCTTTTATATTGATTATTTTACGTCGCATTCACAGTGTGTAAACATTATGTCAATTAAATCTTGCAGATTCGACAAACGAGAAGAGGCACAAGAGGCTATAGCCGCTTTGAACAATGTCATACCAGAGGGTGGTACGGAGCCGTTAAGTGTAAAGGTGCGTTTATTCGTCTATTTTTCAAACGACTTCAAAAAAGGAGCAGGTTCACACTTCGTCTGAATCTTTTTTTTTATATATGTTTACCGATTACTCGAAGACGCCAGAACCGATTTGGAAAATTCCTTTTTTGCTTCAAATGGTTATAGTTCCCAGGTGGTTCCATTTAAATTTTATCGAAATCGGTCGAGGGGTTTAAAAAATCAACAATAAGTTATATTTATATTGAAGTCGTTTGTACAAAATTTTAAATTTATCACTTGTATAGAGTTAAAAGTGTCGAACGAATACAATTCACTCAGCATCCCGAGTGCATGCTGTGGTCCATAGACGTCTACATACATCCTCGACTAAGAGTCAAAAAGGCAGATGCGTTGACATCCTTGAGGACTAAGATGGAATGCCTTGTTACCAGTAAAAAGGGTCTCTGGTTCTCTACACTCACCATACGAAACACAGCAGCAGTGTTAAGCTGCTATTTTACGCTGGTATTCTGTGAGAGCGTGGTCCTTCCCGGTCGAGCGGACCCATTCGTTCTGTAGCCGTAATGTAGTAGCAGAATGGCTCTACCGCTTAAAAATTAAAAGTAGAAACCTAGCCACAAATATAAACTTTGTGATAAAGTAATTTTTTTTATTTCCAGGTGGCAGAAGAGCATGGGAAACAAAAGGCGGCGTACTATGCCGGCTGGGCGGCGGGCTTCCATCACAATAGGGGTGAGTTACATACATATGTATATATTCATGTCATCACAATGCATATAACATAATCGACACAATACTAACAGAATATAAGCATATTGAATAATAATTATTTGACTTTATTGTAGATAGTTTTATTTAATATGTGGTGTTCTCGTAAATGTTAGAAATATTATGAAATATATGACTTTAAAACACTTTTTTGGAACAGTCGGGTACTTAAATAAACGATAAAGTAGAATTTTATTTTATTTTAGCGACAGTAGCCTTATGGTTAAGGGTCGGGACTGCAAACTAAAAAAAAGTCATGGGTTCGAATCTGCCATTCGGCTGTCGTGAACCATTCTGATATGAACACTAGAAGAGGACCCACCAACACATCCGAAGTGGCCGTCTTTGGCCAACCTTCTAGGTGTCTCTTAGTTCACGTAACGGATACTAATCCCCCCCCCCTTCCCCTCAACGGAGGTGGAAACCCGTTCGGGGTGAGGGGAGGGGGGGAAGCTCCTAATACAAGCATTTTAAGTTTACTAGGGGTACATAATGGGAATGTCAGTAATTTTAATACCGTTACTTGTTTTAAAAATATATATACAAAAAGTACATCATACCATATTTTCACAACATTTATAACACATATCATAGAGTATATTTAGCTTATGCTTAGAATCTTTTCAATTTTTGTTAATATTACTCTATATTCTTTTCTAAGTATTCTGTTGTTTTTAGCTTTAGATCCATTGTTCATGTGAAGTCCTATATGAGATCCGTTTTGTCAAATTGTAAGACCATACGATATGTACAAACAAATGTACTAAGTTCCAGTAAAACTGTTTTATGAATGTAACATACTTACTCTATTTTAAAATAAAACGGCTCCGTGGCGCAGTGGCTTAGCAATCAGTTGTTGCGCTGGGGGCCGCGGGTTCGAATCCCGCACGGAACAAGTATTTGTATGGCCTACAAATAATTGTTCCGGGTCTGGATGTTTGTCCTTGTGCAATTTATGTTTGTAAAATGCCTCCACGACACAGGAGAAAATCCTAGTGTGGGGGTAACGTTTAAAAAAAAACCATAAATAAGAAACAGAGCAACAAAGAAAGATATACAGAACACAAAAAAGATAGGTCACTATGTAAACATCCATAATTTATGTTTTAATACTAGACGAGGAGTTTATAATGTATATTCTTTTAAAAGTTTTTTTTTTTGAATAAGGGTGACAAACGAGCACATATTCTACCTGATGGTAAGTGGACGCTGTGGCCCATAGACATTTACATTTATCCCCGATTAAGAATCGTAATGCAGATGCCTTGTCACCCCTGAGGACTAAGATGGGGGTGCCTCGGTTTCAGTAAAAAGGGTCTCCGGTTCTCAACACTCATCATACGAAACACAGCACCATCAAGCTGCTATTTTAAGCTGGTATTCTGTGAGAGCGTGGTCCCACTCATGCTACAATCATAATACAGCTGCAGCATGGATCTACCACGTAAAATATGAGACAAGGAGTTGATAATGTATATTCTAAGGCAACTTAAATAGTAATGTTAGGTGACAATGACATACCGTTGCAGGGGTCAGGCCTTTAACAAAGAAAATATTGGGGCTTAGTCAACCATACTGCTCCACACAAGGTTCGTGGATATTTTGTACTTGGATATCCCCTTTACGCTTGAATGTTCCTACTGTCACAAGTTTTTATGTTGTTTTCTAGTATAAGGGCATTTTAACGGTTATTTTTCATCTGTGGACGTATCCTATCCCTTGGGCGTAAAGCTTGGCTATATGGATATAACATTTTTAATAATATAATATTTTGACTGACTAACAAAGAAATTAAAATATATACTGTAACAACTGACAGGTCAACAATGAGAGCTAATAATTTTCCGCTCTACAGATGTCGCTAGTTGGGACTGAGCTGAAATTATTTGTTACACAGTATTACCATTAGTGAAAAGTTGAGTTTTAAATAAAAAGTTTTTCAGTTTCTAGTGTATGTAACTATATACACAAAACAATGCCTCGGTGGTTGCTGTTTAATTTTATGCACGTTTATAACTCTGTTTATAATTCTTTTACTTTTTGGAATATGTGTAGGATTTTTATCAGTTTTAATTAAATAAAATTAAAATATATTGTATCTAATACTTAAAAAATAAACATCAATATTTATATTTTTTTTTTACAATTTAACTGCACTCCATGAAATCTATCAAATATTTCACCTCATTTCCGAGTAGCACCGCTCTGACGGCAAAAAAGTTGTGGATGGTCTCATTGACTTCAAATAAAGTTACCATAGACAATTAAAAAAAGCACATAATAATCATTCACTCTTTTACTGAATTGTTAGCTTATCACCATATGCTATATTTTATTTATTGTTTCTAAATAGAGGCCTGTGTCATATTTTTATTGTCATCTTACACCCATAAAGATATGCTTTACCCATACACAAGTCATGTAATCATTTCTTTCCGCTTTAGCACCAGCTACCGCTCAATTATTATGTTTAAACTCTACAGTTATAATAACACTGTTATGTTAAGGATCTTAAAAATTAATGATCTGAGATTTGCGTACAAAATAATATTTAAACAATAGAATAGACTTTAATAGAATCAGGGTTTATACAGGGGTTATTTTGCAATGTACGGCCAAATTTGCAGAGAAGTTAAATTAAGTCGTATAGGCGAATGGTGAAGAAAAATTAATTAAAAAATCTTAAGCATTGTGTCTTTTTTATCTTTTAAATTCAAAATGCGTGGTGATGCATTATTTTAATTGATTGTACCGTGCACGCACGCAAGGGTTGATCGGTAGGCAAAAACGTTGTGAATTGAATCGCACACAGAGAAGCGTGCGTACGCGTAGTTGTTGCCTATAAATCACATTCAGTTTGGGATAATTTCAATAAAAAGTAGTAATATACTCGTTTCGTATTTCAATTTAAGTATAAAATTTGGCTAGTCTTTGAAAAATAATCCCGTATAGACATTATAGAACCAGGAGTTAAACTCTTCAAATAGGTAAGACACATAATTTTTATTTCTTTACGCGTACCTTAGAATCAATATTATTATCTAAAACTCTTTATTAAGTCGTGGTGGAAGTCAAAAATAAATTTTTAGTTAGTTGAATAAGGATTGATTTCAAAGTTTGAAACCATCATTCACATCACAACTGTACAGTATTGTTTATATAATCAGCACGTACAATGAAACCTGGACTTAGTTTTTTGCACTACTTTTTTTTTTAAAGAATACCACTATATCAACCACATTCATGTGCAATAAAATATCTTTTTGTACCACTTTTTTTTAAAGAATACCATTATATCAACCACATTATTGTGCACTATCATTACCACAACTACTAACACTACGTGGGGGGGGGGGGGGGGGATACATTGAATATCGCAGCATGTACGCTTATTGTGAACCCGTAGCTCTTATAAGGGCACAAAAAACAAGAAAACCATTTGACGGTTCGGGGACCTGTATAACTTCTCTGAATTTTGCCACGTATGAAATAAACAAGTTTCTTCATCTAGAATAGATGAAGGTGCTATATACATGTGTGAACAGTAACCGTTCGGCTACAATTAGCCTTAGTGGTCGGAGTTGGACCCAGTTGGAGCCAACATTTGTGCAAAAATGCAAATTGTTTGATATCGGTGTGCAGTGCGATTGTGTAATGCTGGTTGGAACCGCTTGCTTGTGGGAGTTACCCCGCGATCATGTTATAATTTTTATTAATATCATGATTATCGTCCTTACCACCACCACCACCATTATCACCATCATCGTAGCCTTTCAGAAGTTTACTGCTGAACATAGCATCATCATTACAACACTATCTAATATACCCCATATCATCTCATAGGTGTCGTAAGAGGCGACAGAAGATAATAAAACACAATATGGACAGTAGTAAGTTCCTGATGACAAGTCAAAGTAATAAAAAGTGCATTTTCCAACCCGCCTGCCAATATACTCCTTATGAGGCAATCTATATGGAGGCCTATGTTCAGCAGCGGATGCTATATAGTATATAGGCTGTAATTAATGAATGAAAATGAAAAATCTAAAATAAGATTTATTAATATGTCACCTTCTAATCGATACACATTTACACAAAACAACGAAATTTCTCTGTGTGTGCTCCGTGGCGTAGTAACTTAGCAACGAGTTATGGCGCTGGGGGGCGCGGATTCGAATCCCACACGGAAAAAATATTTGTAAAGTACAGTAGAAAAGCCTTGTGAGGACAAAAAAAATGATACATCGAATATGAACACAAAGGCAATCACGATTCCTATCAGTATTACACAATCTGTACTGGTTATATAATAGTCCTATTGTATGACAGTCCTAGTTCCTAATTTACCTGCGGTTTCATTACATATATGAGTACGGTACAATCGTGCACACCAGGTGCTAGGACAAGAGAGTGCTTTTGTGTTTGCACATACACTTGTGCACTACATCTTCTGCGAAATCGACCTGCAGTGTTAGTCAAGTTAACTTTGTAAAATCATTAACGCTAATAATAATATTGAATTTTTAATAACAAGTAAAACCGACATTAAAATCTAAATTTATCATCGACTTCCGAAGCTAACACGTGGAAAGCGACATCAGAAGTTTTAAGGTCGGTTTTCCTTTTTACTAATAGTTTAATTACTTTACCCTTTTTAGTGATGTAAGCAATATCACAAGCAATAGCACATTTTCATTCCCTATTTTTCAGATCGAATTTTTCTTTAAATTTATTATATGATCACATCCCTGAAGTATTTGATACAAAAAGGATCATTTAAATCGGTTCAGCCGTTTTCGAGAAAAACTGCGAACATGGAACAACATACGCGTCGAATACAGAACCTTCGCGTTTTTCTAAACTCATGAATGACATATCTCACCGGAGACCCTTTTTCCTGAAAACAAAGCAATCCATCTCCGTCCTCAGAGGTGACAACGCATCTGAATTTTGATTCTCGATCG